TCCTTTTCTAGATCACCGGCATCCTTACACATGAGGCCCTTCCCCTCAGAGATAAAATCTTCTTCTGTTTCTAAATAGACGAAACTCCACTGCGTTTGAGACGCTTTGAAATCTTTTTCATCATCAACCGCAGATGACAATGAAACTATTCATTTACGGATTCGTTTTGCTCAGCATGTACTGGGATGTCCTGTACCGCAAACGACCTTTCCTCTTACACCAACGTACCGACTCACCGGTACACGTTGACGAGATCACTCTAGGACACCTCCTGGCTGCTGCCTGAAACTGCACCTCTGCACAGGTCATATCATGAGCGCCGTCCACCACCGGCGCCACGCCTGCAAGCGATCACATGATCGACTCGCCACTGGGACAGCCAATCATAGGTGCCGTAGACTACTAGTTGCCAAGCGGTTGATCAAGTGCCCAGCGACTCACTCACCCATGATATTTATGTATCTACGCCTAAGGCACGCTAGCGGACAAATGCACCCGCAGGGTTTGGGCCCGTAAGTGCTGATGAGTGGACTGGGAATCAGACGGCGACGGCACATTCTAATCTCTGGTTTCTATATATCCTACTATACTTGTGTGACCCGCACAGATGGGTTTTCCGGCCCTGTGGCGCCAATAACGCGTCCGGTCTTATCAACTCTATCCTGGCACAGGACTCAGATTAGGGATGGAAGGGAGGGTGCATCAGATGCATTGCAAGTCACTGTCCCTTAGCCCTCCTGATCTAGAGCATACAGTAGACATACTCGAAATTAATGGTCGAACTCCCATGTGTCTATGCAGGGCAGTGTCCGATGAGAGAAAGCTGTGGATCTTATTTAGTCCGAACTGTACTGCAATGCAACGGTCATTCAAACACACCGGCGAACCGGTAGTGCTCGTAATGCTGTAACGTGACACTGCGCTAACAGGAAGAAAGTTTCTTGCGACCTCAAGGGACTTCAGTTATCTATGCGAAGAAAGCATATTTCTAGACTCAGCAAAGACAACGGCCCCTAGGTCTTGGGATGAAAAGTGAGAAGAAACTATCCTTTCAAAAGAAATTAAGTATAATTATTCTGATTGCTATCTTCTGGACTCCCTTGCGAGCTTAGAGTCCATCAAATCAACAGCAAATGTTACAAAGGACGAGCAATTTACGATCCAAAGTAATGTTGTGAAAGCCCTAGAAGACTGAAATCAGTTTTCAGTACTATCACGAGAAGAAAAAAAGGCTTCAAAGGCCCTGAAATCCGACAACACCATCGTTGTCCTCGCCACGGACAAGGGAGGTGCAACTGCTATTTTGAATAAATGCGACTAAAATAAGAAAATGCTGTAGTTTTGGAGGATGCATCAACCTACAAGCCTCTTTCGACAGATCCTACAAAGGCTCAAACTTCAGCTATCGACTAGGTGTTGAAAGGTCTGAAGTGATTGAAACAAATACCGGGTGATCTTATCAAGGCATTATAACAAATTGAACCAACCATTGCTAGGATTTATCGACTGCCTAAAGTGCATAAACCCGAAGTCCCTTTGTGAACGATAGTATTGCTAATCGGAGTGCTAAACTACAAAAAT